CAGTTCAATTTTTTTATTGTGCTATGCCAATGGGGTGCCGAGCCGTTCGTTCGCGACCTACGTCAAGCCCCGCTTTCGTAGTCGACGCTGCCGTCCTTGAGCCCGCGCGATATACGCGCTCAGATTGGTCAGTGTTTTTGCTTAATAATTCAAAAAGGAAGCTTCAAACCACTTTTTCGCAAAGGAAAAAGTTGTTCAGAATCACCCCACCTACCACCACCTCAGAGGGTGAAAATACATTATGGGACACCCTGTATAGCGAGATACATTAGTGAACCAACCGCCTCTCTGTACGGGGCATTGGTTGTCTCAGGCTTCTCCTTGTTATGAACGGAAATGCTCATTTCCTGATGTTTGTCCACAGGAACGGCGACAGGATTAGCGTCGTGCATGTTGAAACGTTTTAGAATCCTTGTGGTGTAGTTTGACTGATGGAGGAAGAGGGAGCCATTCGGATTTGTTATCACTTGAAGACCCAGGAAAGAGTTGAGGTTGCCGGATGTGACATCAAACTCACTTCTTAGCTGAGCCAACAGTGATGTTGCAAGCTTGTCGTCTGATGTGGCCACCAGTCCATCATCTATGTAAATGGCCAGTATTAGCGAGTTCGTCTCTTCTATGAAAACGCAGGGATCCGCTTTCGTAGCTTTCAGTTTGAACTTGTTTAGAAAATTCCCAAACCGCTCGTGCCAACACCTTGAGGCCTGTTTTAGGCTGTAAAGGCTTCTGTTTAATTTACAAAGGGCAGCACACCCATCTTCATAGCCCTTAGGTTGATTCATATAAACGGTTTCTTCGAGTTCGCCGTTGAGAAAGGTAGTTTTAATATCGAATTGTTGGAGACGCATCCCCTTGGCAGCAAAGCCAAAATGACCCTTATAGAGTCGAACTTTACGACTGGGCTGAAAGTTTCGTGATAATCCACACCATGGGTTTGTTAGTAGCCCTTGGCCACAAGTCTGACTTTGTACCTTTCAATATTTCCTTTGGGATCTCTTTTAATTTTGAAAACCCAGCGGTTTTGGACTGGTTTGGACGAGGCCACAGGGTTCATTAAGGTCCAAGTATTGTTTTTGTAAAGTGAATTCATTTCCTCATCCATGGCCGTTCTCCACTCAGGAGCATGTGGCCCGGTGATGGCTTCTTCATAATTTTGGGGTTCTTCGACCTCAGCAAACAGAACACAGTCAGGGGCGAGTCCATCTTGATATCTGCTCGGCTTCTTGATGGTCTGTCGATCTGTGAGTACGCGACGAGTCTGGTGCGCTTGATCAGCCTGCTCTTCCACGACAGTAGAATCAACAGCCGACGGGATGGCTTGGCCCTCATCAGCCGAGCCATCGTCCGATGTCTCCTCCTGTGGTTCGGGCTGCGACACCTCTGCCGGTTGGCAGCGTGAAGTCTCACACGAATGTGAAGTGGCCTCACGGGTTGTCTCCACCGGACACAACTGTTGGGAGTCAAAGGTTGCTTCTTCATCCTGTTGAATTCCTTCCTGCTTCCCGAGCTCATCGAAGATTACATCCCTTTTGGTTTCAACCCTATCAGTTTCCGGGAACCAGATTCTGTAACCTTTAATATTATCGCCGTACCCGACAAGAACACCTTTGATCGCCTTGCTGTCTAGTTTTTGACGCTTCTCCTTTGGCACGTGGACATAAGCGACTGTTCCAAACACGAACATCTTAATAGACTGTGTGTTGTATGTGTGTTGTATGCTCCGATCCTTTAGCAGTTTTTGGACCCTCTCATTTACAAACTCCAACCCATTGTCTGTTCGCAGAGTTCTTATATTTCTTCCAAAGAGGTTGTGAGTTGAGGCAAGAAACTCTTTTATCCGATCTGCTGTTTCATCCTTGGATTTGATAAACCAGACAGTTTTGAAATGGGAAAAATCATCCTTAAATAACAAAAAATAACGTGATCCATTTATAGACTCTTCCTGAAAGGGACCGCAGAGATCTGTGTGTATTAGTTCTCCTGGATTTTGAGGTCTATAATCATTTTCCTTGTGCGGAGGAAAAGGTTTTCTATGAGACTTTCCAAGGGCACAGCCCTCACAGAAAAAGTCCCGTGCACGAGTTTCAATGTCTTCACTCTGCAAATATTTTTTGACATAATTGACATTTTGGTGCGCTAACCTCTCATGCCACAACTGGAGATCATTTGCTGCCGCTACGTTTCCCTCAACATTATCAGAGGTGGGGAGTACTTTGAATTTCATTTGACAAAGCTTGCTTCTTCTCACTCCCACTGCAACGATAGTCCCATTCTTCTCAAAGTGACATCCTTCGGAGGTTGATATTTGCAGTAATCCCTTGTCCAGTGCAGACCCTGCCGAGAACAGATTGTGCCTAATATTAGGAACATATAGGACCTCTGACAAATGTTTCTCACACCATTCTTGTCCATCGTAAGCTAGAATGTTAATATCTCCCTGCCCTAAAGCCTCAACAAACTCATCTTTCTTGCCCACATAAACTGGCTGAGGCTCTTCAAAATACTTGAGATTTATAAACCATTGTTTTTGATTAGACATGTGGTGCGTAGCTCCAGAGTCCAAATACCAAACACACGTGCCTCCACCAGACTCAACACTTGAGTACAGCATCGCTTGTGCTATCAAAGCCTGCCCTTTAGGTTTTTTGTCAGAGGTGTTTTTATTTGTGTTCGGTCTAGTTTTATTTGAATAGCAGTCTCGTGTCCAATGCCCAGACCTTTTGCATTTGTGGCAGTAACTGGAAATAACTCTACCAGAAGTGCCCTCCTTATTGTGGGCATTCTCATTTTTATTTTTTGACTTATGCGTCAGTTTAGTGGCTGAAAAGGCCTCATCATCATCCTTTTCTTGAACTGTACTTCTAGTTTCTTCAGCGATAAGTCTTTCTATTAAATTATCTAAAGTGCGCTCACCTGCAGGAGTTGATTGCCAAGCAGTGACGAAATGGCCATACGTCGCTGGTAAGGTCATGAGAATTTTAGTCATGACCATGGAGTCTGCGATAGATTCACCCAGAGTCTGCAGACGAAAAACAAGGTCTTTCAGCTTGGCTATATGAGAGGCCATATTGTCCTTAGGGTCCTTGTGAACCTGATACCATCGTTGTTGCCGCATATGTATGGACGTCTCTGATTTCTGCTCATACAGATTGCACAGCGCTGACCACATGTCCTTGGCACTATGGCAATTCATGATGTGTACAAGCTGCGAATCCGCTACAGTAGTTGCGATTATTCGTTGTGCGGCGTTATCCTTTCTAGTCCATTCTAATAACGCGCCTCGCTGGCGTTCAGAAGCATCCTGTTCAGGCACTTCAGGTTTTGCAACATCACCTTGAGTCACTGACCAAGAGTCTTTATCTTTGAGCAAAACCGAGACTTGAAATTTCCACTGAGCCCAATTTTGAGCATTTTGTAGCTTTGTAATTTTTACGGCTTCAGTGTCCATGTTTGAAGGTTATCTTTCACTATTGCACGTGGGCTTGGAAACTTTCAAACGAAAAGGAATAAAAGAAAAAATATATGTTTGTATATATTTAATTATACGTTGCCTGGGCCCATAACCTGTTTTGAATGTGGTTAAATGAGTGAATGAATTGAGATTGAATGATGAAAAATACTTTAATATAAAATCACACAAAGGTAGCGTGTGCACATGGCGGTTGCTAATACAGGAAGTGAAGTAAACGGAAGTCGAGAGACGGCATCTAATTATGAACATAGATTATGTAAGATATTGAGGAGTAACATGAAACATTAAAACATATCATACCAACAGTGTGAACTGCGATTACTTATGTTCTTATATGAAAAGTCGCGATTTTCGGAAATTTTAATTATTTATAACTTTTAAATGCGTTCACAGATATAGATGAAATTTTTAGCATACACACAACTTATCTGAATCTACGAAAGTCATTTCAGTTGAAAAATTACCATTCTCTATTTTTTTTAATGATTTCAACAAATTGTAATTTTTTAAAACGATAAAAATACATATTATAAATTTTCAAGTGTAGGAACAAATAAATCAGGGGAGAATGGAAAGCAATGAGAAACCAAATGAGGAAATCAACAAGCAATTAATTCAATTACTTGCAACATATAAGAAACAAATAAGTATATACATATAATTGCGATTTCTCAGCGTGGAATCAACATCCATATGATTATACTACAATAATTATGTTTATGTTCTATCTTACAGAATGCAGAGCTGAAAAAGGAAGTCGAGCGACTTAAATATAGTCGAGGGGCAAGAGGAGGGGGTAGAGGAAGAGGCGGAGGAAAATGGGGTGTTTAAGTCAAAAACAATCCTACTATCATTTTTAAATAAATAAAAAAAAAAAAAATACTATGGTTTCTTTGTTGTACATTCTACCCATACCCTAATTATAATATAAGTAAATATAATATTATTAGTACATAATTTTTTAATATATAGGTGTTGAATTCCGGGTTGGGGAATCGAGTACAACACTTTTAAAACCAAGACGTTTATTGAATGAACGGCAAGAAGCGCACGCTAGTACTGACTACAGAAAAATCTCTCGAGACGTTTTGGGGAACATCTATATATATGGTAAGCGAAGGTAACTGGGGGTCAGCGGATGGTCAAGGTACAAGGGGCAGGATGAATAACTGGGGAGAAGAAGCTAGATGAGTAAGGAAGGAATAGGATGACTAACTAAGTGCAGGAGGCTAGATGAGCTGGAACTATGACTAGGATATGTTTGGGTTAGGATATCTTTGTTGGCGGTGAATTGGTCATACAACACCTCCCCCCTTTTAGTCCGAAAAATTAAAAATTTTGAGGAGTGCTTTAGCAATTTGAAAAAAATTATTACATTTCGATATTGTATCCTATACTAGTTATACATAATTCAATTTTATACCTAAATTAAATGTAGTTTACTGATAAATGTGATATAATATGGTAATACTAAACTAATGGGTTTTTCTAACAATTATAAATAGCTAATGATAATTATTGGGGGTTTACAATTATAGAGGAGTTAAATAAGAATCGAGTATACTAATAAATGTGATTAAATATATATACATATATATATACTAGACTAATGGGTTTGTCTAACAATTATAAATGACTAATGATAATTATTAGGGTTTTACAATTATAGAGGGGTTGAACTTTTCCGCGTTCTTGATCCAGACTTGGATCTGAGGTTGTAAGTGTTCGCTCTAGGTTGATGCTGATCCATGATTCTTTCTTCAGTAATGCCAGTGGATGTTGTTTGTTCTGAAGGACCTTGTTCCCTTCCGCGCCTTTCAAACAGGACCATATCATTAGAATGGTCTCTGTGTTCACTATGATTGCTCGAGTCGAAATTGCAGTGAACAAAGTTTTTGATTATTGGTGGTACGATTTCGCCTGTTCTGGGGCTCCTGGTGAAGCAACAGAGACGTTTGAGGAGGTTCCAGCAACCAATCCAGCGACAGCAGTTTCCGCAAACGATGAGGATTAGAACGGCACCTATTATTCCTAGGGTTATCGTGTACCAATTCGTGTGGGTGACGATAAATGGTTCCTTCATATGATGAGTTAGTAGTTCATCGAGTTCATTAAGTTTTTTGGTATTGAATTTTAAATCGTTTAGGTCGATATTTGTGAGTCTTATGGGTTTTAGGGATGATATCGTTTTATGATGTAAATAATTTGATGCCAAAATACAACAATCGTCTTCAGTTAGGTTGATTCGGGGGACGTAGTGACTGATATTTTTGTTTACGTAATTTGTGGGTTCCAACGAGTATAGCATGGTGTATCCCTTGCAACCACTGTGTAATTGTATCATGCTAGTTTTTTGTAAAACAATGTCTTCCATGTGATCGTTGTTGTTCTCCCCACAGATGATTGTCAATGTAGTCGGCTTCTGCAGGATATACAACCACTGATTGCTTCCGATGTAGGTCCATATCTCCATTTCAGCGTTTATTGTCTTCGTTGAGCAGTCTTGCGGTATTTGCTTTACATGCGGTGATAGCAGCAGTACCTCGCAGGTGGATTCTTCGGTAGTTCTGGCCGTATTTACGTTGGTGCATACATACTTCCCTTCCAGATACTCAACGCAATTCCTCAAGTCCGACATGACGGCGAAGTTGGATTTTTGCTGGGATAGGAGTAGATACGGGTTTTGAGGTGTAATAAATGAAAAGATAGAGGTATTTTGATGCTGAATGGGTAACGGGATTAGGTTGTATAGATCGAAATTTGTTCTTTTCACAAGTGGTAATTTTATAACAAATACTACGAGTTCGTTTATTGTAATGCTTTGAAGTTTCATTAATTTGTATATCTTAGGTAAGTTTTTGTAGGTCGGTGTGATCATTAATTCGAAATCATCTTTGTAATTAATTAGCTCTTCGCAAAGATCTTTTGGAGTTATTAAGAACGGGGAAATTATGTTATGATTTCCTAAATTGATGGATTCTATATTTTTATCAAAATAGTCCGAGACTTGAATGCATAAAGAGAGTAAAGTAGCCACTTGTTCCATGATAGTTGTTTCTAACGAGAGGTTTATAATATAGTTATCTGTTTCTGACATATATTTATTAATTATTTTCATATTGTTGTTCAGGGTCTCTTCCGTAAGTTTTAAAGACTGAATTGAATTATTAAAATTTTTTATAGTACTAGAAACTATCTGTATCTGAGACTTTAATAGAGTTTGAGTTTGCTTATTATCATTTAGTAAGGCTTCAATGCTATCGGAATAGTATCTGGCATCGTCGGCATCCGGGGTGCCAATTAGCCAATTTAAAACATAAGAAGTTCCATTAATTAAACCGCGTCGTCTACGTTGCTTTACGTCGTGCCCTATTAATCCATTAAGTATTTTTTCCTTGTTATTTATGTTTTGTAATTCACTTTGAACAGACTGTAGGGTTTCTTCACAATAAGATTTTTGTTGTTTAGATATTACGACTTCTTTTAACAAGTTACAGATCTCCCGTGATTTAATAAAATGAGAATTTAAGAGAGCTTTCGCCTGAGATAGATAAGTTAGATTAGCATATGTTATGAGGTGTAACTCGGTATTCGAAATTTTTGCTTCTCCTAACTTTCTATAAAAAATTCCACTTGTGTCGGTGGTGTATTGGAATATGGTAACTCGAAGATGGTATTAGGAACTAGAAGGAATAGCAATAGGATTGTCGGAATCATCTGGAACATAACGTTTAAGAAGATTAGAATGATAAGTGGTCCTTTTTTTTCCTATTTGAAGTTCTACCGTGTTATTAGGATGTACTTGTGTGACTTTGAATGGACCCTTGAAATTGGGCGACAATTTTTTACTAAGGCCTACCTTGGTTTGTTTTTTGTATATACATACGAGATCATTAACTTTAAATCGCGTCGGATTAATTTTCCTATCATAATATTCCTTACTCTTATTTTTGGAGTTTATTAGATTTTCTCTCGCTGTTTTAAAAGACGTGTTTAATCTATTTTGTAATGAACGGATGTAATCGTCGTAAGTATAATGGAATTCTGGTTCCTTCAGTATGGAAGAGGGTAAATAGGCTTTTCGTCCAAAGAGAAGTTCATATGGTGTTAGATTAGTGGATCTGTGAGTTGAGGTATTATAACTAAAGGTTGCAAATGGAATATATTCGTCCCAGTCCGTTTGATTGGCTTTTATATAATGCTTTAAATAATCTTTCAACGTTAAATGATATCTTTCTAACCCTCCATTGGTTTGAGGATGATATGGACTGGTGCAGATGTGCTTTGTTTTTAATAAGTTTCCTAAGTCTTTTATTAATTCGGACATAAAGTCTGGGCCCTGGTCTGTCAAAAAGGTTTTTGGTATTCCAAATTGGGTGAATATTTCGATCAATGATTTTGCAATAGTTAGAGATTCATGATTTGGGATAGGTTTGGCAAAACAAAATTTTGTCAGATCGTCTTGTGCAGTAAGGATAAATCTGTTCCCGCTTTACCGTGAGTGGTAATGGTCCTACAATATCTATGGCTAGTTTTTCAAAAGGCTTCTCGGCTGTAGTAGTTATTTCCATAGGCTGTTTAATAGGTTTGAAATTTGTTTTGTTCATTTGACATGAGTGACATGACTGAATATACTTTCTTATGTCTGGCTTCATAGATGGCCAGAAGTATTGTTCTTTAACTTTTGCATAAGTTTTATTGAAACCGTAGTGCCCTGATAACTTACTATCGTGATTTTCTTTCAGGATGTTTTGTATTTCTTCTGGCGTTTGTGGATTCATTTTCTCAGAGTGAAACAATTTGATTTCGTTGTTGGGAAATAGGAATTTTAACATCTCGCTTAATTGATCTAACTTGATATTACTATATTTCTTATGATTAGGAGGAATAAAAATGAATTTCTGAGCTTTCATTAACAATTTTAATTTCAGAAGGCATTCAAATATATTTTTGTACTCTAATCTATAAAAAGGTGAATTTAGAGGATATAAAAGATAGAGAGTTTGCTTTTTATTCTGAACTTTAGATAATCCATGTAATTCTGGTTTGAGGTTTTCTATGTTAAATTTTGCCTGTATGTAGTTTAAATATTGATTGTTTTCATCGAGATCTTGAGACCAAAACACTACTATAGGATCAGTAAGCGATGATAGAGTTCCTCCCACCATTTCATAGGATACTGGATTTTGATTGGTATAGTGATATTTGATAAAATCATTGTAGGATGGAGTTTGCTGTGTGTTCATATTTATTGAACTTTGAGTGATGAGTCGAGAGAGAGCGTCTGCGTTTGCGTTAGCGGTGCCCGGTTTATGTTTTATCACATATTGATATTCTTCTAATCTAAGTCGCCATCTGACTAATCTTGATGATGGGTTCTTACAGTTGAAAAGCCACTGGAGTGGCCGATGATCAGTGTAAATAGTGAATTCTCTACCGAACAAATAGGGTCGAAAATGTTCTACAGAGTTGACAATCGCTAGAAGCTCTTTTTCCGTAGTCGAATAATTGCGTTCTGAATCGTTTAGAGTTCAAGAATAATAAGCGATTGGAAGATCTTGACCGTTATTAATTTGAGAAAGTACAGCACCTATACCGACATTGGATACATCTGTACAAAGAATGAATTGTTTAGAAAAATCGGGATATTGTAAAATCGGTTTACAGGTTAATTTTTCTTTTAATGTTTCAAACGATTTTTGTTGTTCTTCCGTCCAAACGAATGGCACGTTCTTTTTTAGTAATTGAGTTAGGGGTTTTGCTAATGTAGCGAAAAGAATAAATTTTCTATAATACCCTACCAAGCCCAGGAACATTTTAACTTCTTTTTGGTTTCGCGGTTTTGAAATTTTTTGGAGACTATCTACTTTCTTTGGATTTGGCTGCACACCTTTATCAGAAATTAAGTGACCTAGATATTCGCACGACCTTTTTAGGAATTCGCATTTACTTGGTTGTAGTTTTAAATTATTCTCTCGGAGTCTAAGGAATACGTTTATCAGCTTGCGATTGTGATCGTACAAATTAGATCCATAAATAACAAAATCATCTATACAGGGTGTCCCGTAACGCATTTTCACCCTCTCAGGTGGTGGTAGGTGGGGTGATTCTGAACAACTTTTTCCTTTGCGAAAAAGTGGTTTGAAGCTTCTTTTTTGAATTATTAAACAAAAACACTGACCAATCCGAGCGCGTATAGCGCGCGGGCTCAGGGACGGGAGCGTCGGCTACGACAGCGGGGCTTGACGTAGGTCGCGAACAAATGGCTCGGCGCCTCGTTAGCATAGCACAATAAAAAAATTGAAGTAGTTAAACATTTTTTGTTGTTGTTGAAAAGGAATACGGAATCTAATCTCTTGTCGCCTGTTATTATGTAAACAAGGAAATTTTAAACATTCTAAATAAAAAATAAAAATGTTTGACCCCGAAAAGGGCTACATAAGTGCAATACCTAAGTGCAATAAACGAGGCGAGTTCACTAGCCCGACCATCAAATCAGCTGTTCCGCACACGTGTTTCTTCGTCAAGTGATGAAGAACGACATAATAACCCAGGATAGATCCAGGTAGGAATTATCTGCTTTCAGCATAGCAGGTAAATTTACGAACGAATGGGTAAGTGTTGGATTACTTACAATGCGTCAGCAAGTAAGCAAAAATAAATTTAGTATATTTGAGAAGCACTGCGTGCTTTAATGTTTTGTTTATGGACCAGACGTCAACGGACTCATAGACCTGGGACTGTTTATACCTGAGGGCCTTGGTAACAGACTGAATGCAGTCTTGGTCTTTATAGAATCTTTAAGTGGGCAACAGACTTTTAGCTTTGTCCTTACGGGCTTTCTAGCCACTTCGTGTCAAAACGTCATAGAGAGAAGACGTCCTTCCTAGCCTTAAAATAAAGTATTTTGTGTTGAAATATACTGTGTATTTTATTATAATAATCCCCATAATCTAACAGTAAGTTTCATTGAAATTGTTTTAAAATTTGTATTCATTATTTCATTTCAAACATTTTTATTTTTTATTTAGAATGTTTAAAATTTCCTTTTTTACATAATAACAGGCGACAAGAGATTAGATTCCGTATTCCTTTTCAACAACAACAAAAAATGTTTAACTACTTCAATTTTTTTATTGTGCTATGCTAACGAGGCGCCGAGCCATTTGTTCGCGACCTATGTCAAGCCCCGCTGTCGTAGCCGACGCTGCCGTCCTTGAGCCCGCGCGCTGTACGCGCTCGGATTGATCAGTGTTTTTGCTTAATAATTCAAAAAGGAAGCTTCAAACCACTTTTTCGCAAAGGAAAAAGTTGTTCAGAATCACCCCACCTACCACCACCTGAGAGGGTGAAAATGCGTTACGGGACACCCTGTATATACGAAACACTGTGTACTATTTAATCCGGTTAAAACATTATTCATAACTCTTTGAAAGTGAGCTGGGGCATTCTTAAGACCGAAGGGCATTCGAGTAAACTCATAGTGCCCGTTTGGTGTAGAAAATGCTGTTTTTGGGCTATCCTTAGTGTCTATCGGAATCTGATGAAACCCATTAGATAAATCTAGAACGCTAAAATACTGTGCATGTCCTAACTGATCAAGAATGTCCTCGATATTTGGTAAAGGATAGGCGTCTCCTATCGTTTTTTCATTTAGCTTCCTATAATCGATTACAATACGCCATTTCCTTTCGCCGGTTGAATCTAATTTTTTCGGTACAACCCAGAGTGGGCTGGACCATGGATTGGTAGATGGTTTAATAATACCGTGATCCAACATTTTCTCAATTTGTTTATCTACTTCACTCTTATGAATTTGAGGATAACGATACATTTTTGCATGTACAGGTATTTCATCGGTTGTAGGAATAGTGTGAGAATCTACTGTTGCTCGGGTCAATATATCTGTCGGTAAATGAAATATATCATGAAATTCTGTACAAATTTCTCTAATAGATTGGGTTTCTTCCCAATTCAAATGATCCAGTCGTAGATTTTTGTTTAATATTCGTAATCTAGTTTCTGTGGAGTTTGGTTCTTGATTTGCGGCTAGACTATAAATATATGAATAATTGGGGATTGATTCAATTGAAAATTCAGGCATCTCGATTGTTTGTGCTTTAGAAGAAGTATTAATGATTGTTGTCAAAGCTGTTCCGTCATCACGTACTCGGACAATTGAATGAGGTATTAGAAGAGAGTTATCGCTATTTAACTTTCGTGCCGTTATTGTCCCTATTTGCATATGCTGGGAATTTGATATTCTAATTGGAATTACTGTTTCGGTTCGAGCATTAAAATTATATCAACGGATTTCTGAAGAGTATTTTGACATAAAGGGATAGGGAATGGTATATTTCCTAGCGACATGGTCATTTTTGTATAATCGATTGTTGCCTTATGAGCTTTTAAGAAGTCATGGTCTACCAAGCCATCAAAGGGAATATTGCTGGGAGAGTTAACTACTTGGAATTTTCCATAAATTTTCCGATCATTGACATTTAAAGGGAGTTCGGTTTCTCCTAGAGTTTGAATAGAAACGTTCGGTGCGATCCCATTTAATACTGTGGAGTTACGATCATTAACTTCATACTCGGATATGCGCTTTAACTAAAGAAATGGAAGCACCCGTGTCAACAAGAAATTTTAAAATTTTATCAGTGCTGTTAGAATTGTCTGACTCGAAGAGTACAGCTAGTTGATCGTTATTAGGTAAAAATGAATTTGAAGAGTTTATCGTGTACTCATGAGATTGAATTCCTTCGTTGCTTCTTCCAATGGATTCGGGGGTTCTGGTGGTTATTGGACCTGACGAAAATTTCCAGTTTGAGGATCTTTTGAGATGGTATTATATGGCGTAACCTCATTAGGAGGAATTGGTTCTGTTCTTGATATCTAATATCTCGTGGATTTTGAGAATGATTATTAAAGGAATTTGGATTCTGTCGATATGTGCGAAAATTGTTAGGATTTGGTTGCTGTCGATTTATTTGCGAATTGTTGGAGTTTGACTGGCGATAGAGTCCGTTATTTTGTCTAGAATTATTATACTCCCGTTTCCTACATTCTTCTATATTGTGACCAAAATTTTTACAATATCTACACTGTTTTATATTATTTAATGCATTGTTTTGACTCGATTGATTAAAATTGATTGCTCTACTAGGAGATGATCTTTGTTTCCCTAAATAGCAGTCATTAATGCTGTGATTTGACTTGTTACAAATTCTACAATGCTGAAAGTTATTGTATCTCAGACGCAAAGCTTTCTCCTCGGCCATAGCTGCCGTGAGAGCGCTGTTAATATTTGGGAAATCGCGATATCTCAACATTTGGGATATTTGTGGGTGCAAATGAAACACGAAACGACTGAGAGTCATTTCGTTTATCATTGCTACGCGCCCTGCCAATGTATTATCCTCACAGTCTGTTGAGTGAATAGTTCCTAGAATTCTTGATTGGAATTCTTCTAATCTTTCATAAAATTGTGAAACGTTTTCATTGCGATTTTGTTGAATTGAATTTAATTCTTCCATGAGTTGATCTAGAGATTTTTTATCCTGATATAAGTTTAGCAATAATTCAGAGACTTCCTCCCAAGTGGTGAGATTACAATGAATATCAATCTGGTCTCGGGCTTTACCCTCTACTTTATTTTTTACGAATAATAATAGAACCGGTTTTTGCGAAGGACTAGCTAATTCAAAAACAGAGTCTACCTGTTTAATGAACGAACGTAGTTTTGTTCTGTCACCATCGAATTCCCTCGGTAACAGTTTTATCAAATGGTTTAAGGATATATTCATTGCGGAATCGAGGTTTGTATCAACTTCGTTACTTAGGGACATTTTTGAATACAGTAAAACCTGGATAAATGCAACCAAGATTGGGACCCAGTGGTTGCATTTATCCAAGCGAGGTGTCGAATCTCGGGTTACACGCGACGACCAGCCAAGCGTGAACGTAGAAAGGGACAGACAGTGGCGGAAAGAGAGAGATCCGATGATGAAAGGAAAGAGCCGAAACGTATCGGTGTGACGAATACTAATTCAACTATAAAACTTTTTTATTTTTGACTTCTTTTTATTGAAACTTTTACTAACGCATTGGTGAAATTTTTCTGATTAAAATGATATCAAACACGATATAATTTCAATTATAATTACTTGCTAAAATTGATGTTAAAGGTTGGCGAAAAGCAACAGAGATCGAAATCAAAACCAGTCGCGGTGTCGGCTCTGGTTTCAAAGGTTTCATTTATCCAGACAAGGTGCCGATTCTGGGCATTTAATGTTGCATTTATCCAAGCGAGGTGTCGATTCTGGGCATTTAATGTTGCATTTATCCAAGCGAGGTATCGATTCTGCGTCCGTACACATGTTTTGTATTCAGCCGACATGCCGATTCTGTGTTCGTACACATGTTTTGTATTCAGCCGACATGCCGATTCTGTGTCCGTACACATCTTTTGTATTCAGCCGACATCATTTATATTCAGTCGTGGTGTCAATTCTATGTTGTTTATTCTATTACTATTGTTTATAAATATAATTCAAACTATATCATGTTTGGTGTCATTTTAATCAGAAAAATCTCACAAATGCGTTAGTAAAAGTTTCATTAAGAAAAAGTTAAAAAGAAAAAAGTTTTATCGTTTAATTAGTATTAGTCACACATTTTTAGTCGTTGTTTAGAATGAATACGGAACCTAATCTCTTGTAGCCTGTTATTATGTAAAAAAGGAAATTCTAAATATTCTAAACAACAAATAAAAATGTTTGAAATGGAACAATTAATAAAAATTTAAAAACGATTTAAATGAAACTTACCCATTCGTTCCTAAATTAACCTGCTATTGCTGAAAACAGATAATTCCTACCTAGGTCACTGTGTCCATCCTAAACATTCGAGGAGGGAACGAATTACGATCAGCTGATCTCCAGACAAGATCATTGAATCCACTCAACCACACAGTCACTACCATCTTTCACAGAATTTTCTTTCAGGTAAATAAACATTTTTATTCACTGTCACATTGCTATTGCATTGGACATAAATGAAAAACATGTAATATTCCACACTACTTCGTAACGTTTTCACGACGTTATTGGTCTTCCTTTCCAACTTCAAATGGGACTGCCAGCTTGAGAAGCCTTAGACTATCCTTGTTCCTCCTACATGAAGAGATAAGCAGAGCATGATAATCAAACTGCCATATTAATATAAAAAGGGTTGAAGTTCTACGATTTCGTAGTTCAAAGATTTTGAGGTGAAAAGGCAATACTTTCTCATGATTCTTTTTTAAAAATATTCTTTGTAAAATTATACAACGACGTAGACAGCCCGATTTTACAATTTGACTCTCGACACATTATAATAAATGTTTTTATAGAAGGAAATTTTTTTACAATATCTTCTAAAAAGCGCTCTGTACGTCAATGGGTATACTTCTCCTGAATGTAAATATCATAATTATTATGTGTTTGTATTAAAATTGAGTCTGGAAAACGTGAATTACTTTTCGGTGTTTCACTTCCACTCCACATCACTCCGCTTAACATTTAAAGATGTATTTCAACATGACAAGGACTAAAAACAATAAACAGACAGAACAGGTAGAAAATTGAAGACCATTCGTCACATCTCATTTTTATTATGTTATTCCTGCATGCAAAATAATGAGCAGTATTTTGTATGTAAAACGACGCTTCCTCGACACATATTCGATGACTGTACAAATCGCGTCGAGTTTTCATCTAAATTCTCTACTTCGGTACAAAGATTTTCAACGAACACATGGTTTACATGTCGCGTAATGTACAATAGTCACACTATTTATCGTGTCTTCAACGTTTACGTAGTACCTCAGCGTAATCTACGTGTATTGAGGACAACAAAGTCATCCTTAAATCAACGATCAATCTGATCGAAACCCCTTGACCTTTTTAATAAAAAACTGATTCATTTAATAATTAACAAAAAAAACCTTGACTGCCAGTTTTTTCATGCAGAAATTTTATCTTCAATAAGCTTAAATTGGCGCTAAAAAGCTGTCAATATTTGAAAATTCATAACTTTTTTTTGCAAAATGGTCGTTCTATAATTCAAAAATGATTTAACCGATTCACTTTTATCAAAGCAGAGATTTACGTACACCCTTCCTTCAGTAATAAGGCTATAAAAATAAAGAAATTATTTAATTTGTGTTAATTATTATAAGATTTTAAATTTTAAACTAATGTGACAAGCATTAGCCTAACTAGGTATGCTCGGCCTCCCTGACAATTTGGACTAGCCCTCTCCAAAAATATGAACCTTTACCATTTTTAAATTTTAAGATTTAGAAATTTCAATATTTCAGATTTAAAAATTCTGAGATTTTAGATTTCTTGCATTTCAGTATTTCAGATCCTGAAAATTAAAAAATTCCAGATTTCCAAAATTCGAAAATTTCAACATTTCTGAGAGACTTGGCCCATCCCAAATTACGCCAATGAACACAAGTGTCATTTAACAATATTCTTACGCCATGCAATCATGTTAGACTTTTTACATTTTGAAATCGGCCATTTAATACCCAACAACACTAACATAAATTGTATAATTCATTTCAGACAGTTGTGTACTTTTATGTTAATGGTCAAAGGGTTAATTATTTCTTCTTTCAAACCGCCATTGAACGTTGTCGATGGAATTATTGAGCCGACAATATTGAATTTAAAATATGTACAAACGATAACAACGGTAATACACATTTTTTAGAGACCTGCATATATGTAATTAAATGTTATGTGTATAATACTTCACAATATCAACAGCTACACCTTACACACTAATGATTAATTCCTTAACAGTATAGTAAAATATATTGTATACGCTATTGCTTGATCTGAGGTAACTCTCAATAACACCCTATCATTACATTTATTTGTTCGCTATTATCGTTATTCATTATTATTAGTAGCATTTAACTATTACTATTAGTATTATTAGGCCGAATGCATTGCTGGAGAACGAAAAACTCTTACAACCATTTCGTATACCTCGAAATGTAGTTTTAGTGAAGATAAAACCATCATTAATGAACGTATCACAGATAAAGTAACGTGAACAACACAGAACTTGTTGCATTTGTATAGATTTTGTTGTTTTACATTAAAGTATGATTTAGAAATAAGTAGCGCAACTGGGGGTGGGATGTCAAACGGTGGACTCTCTTTTAAGAAATTAAAATAGTCTTTTTTAATAAATACTAGAATATTTTCAAAATTTTCAGAAGATGGAACATTTAATTTTATGGAAAAAATCGTCAGGATAAAATTATACTATTTTACGGAACACATATAACGGTAAGATTATATTCCAGAGCATTTTTTCCATAAATAATGGAGATAATTAGATGTTCTCATTTAAATTGACCACCTTGTATAGCTACTAAATATTAACCCTCGAAGAGCAGAGCCTAGGTCAATTGTGACCTTAAATTAGAAGACACATCCAAGGATTAAATTTGTAATTTTTAAAAGAACAGTGTAAAATTTAAGAAATGAAAATAATATAAAATACAAAATTAAGTTAAATCTGAAGCTCTCTCCATGAGCTGCCGTCCAAGGGTTAAATAAAATTTTTAATCGCCAATAAAAGGTCTTTTTCTTCTATATTGCCATTTTTCTATTAATTTTATCTTAAATTAACAGTTTTAATACAGAATGAACTGATTTTAATCTATACATACATTGATTTTGTAGAAGGTAAACTCAGGTAAGTGAAAACTTACTTAGCTAACGTTCACATGTTCTGAAAGTGAGTCAAAAATGTAATGATAGATTAGGAATTATACAGATAAATAATAGGCTAATAGAATTTTACTGACAATATGTACCTATGTTTCATTGCATCTCATACAGAAGGATGAAAAAACGTCACGAACAAGTAAAGTTTGCTCTATGCTCACAAGTTATATTAAAAAATAAATATGATGATAAGTGTGATGAAAAGTTTTGCAGTGAAACATCCGTGAACAAAACTACAAATTAGTTGAGTTTCACATTAAAATTGGTTGTTCCGTATTTCGACGTATTCGTATTTACAACGGACGAATTACAAAAAGTAACCTAGTAAACATTGGCTTAACTAGGGGTCAGGTTTGGCCAGGCCTTTATCTTAATCAAAATAAATACTTACAATTAGGCTAAAATACAAAATAAAATATAGGTATGACAACGTTCATGAAATTATGAATAAGAAGAATTAATACATTATCTACCACTTACAAATAAAATAGCTGAACACTATCTCCTTATGTAACTTAATAGTAATTAAAGATTGAAAGTTGTAACATTTACTTTGAATTTCTTCTAAATTAAAGGTACACCTAACTTTTATTATTTCAACTAATTGTAAGTGATAGGTCAATGTATTATTAATTTTTCGTCAACAACCGGTAGAGTCGAAAAGCCTATAAGAAGAAAAGTTCCATTTAAACGTTTCCTTCTCGTTACTCATATCTTCACGCACACAGCTGCAGTATGCACCCCCTTCGAGGTATCGATGACCGAAAAATGCTCGAGTCCATTCATACTAGTGTGGCGGCATTTCCTTCGAGTACACTAGCGAGAGAATCACCCTGTATAAGCACGTTTGCTACCACCATGCGAACCGACGACGGATGCCGAACATTGCTGATCGACTCCGATCGGAGCTGCAGGTAGGTAAAGTGTTAAGTAGAAATGGTGTGAACTGCAAGTGTGAAATCACTTGTGATTCGATTCGATCATGTTCGTTCTCAATCACGGTGATTTTTCACAGTGATTCGCGATCCTTCGTGATCGCTTCTGATTGATGGA